TTTGGAGTAATAATAAAATTACATGAAAGTGAAACAAAAGTGTTTCCCCCCTACATGGTGCAACGCCCAACTAATTCTCCGACTCCTTCCGACCACTACATTTTGGGCGGTGTTTTTTTTTTGTGATTGTCCTTTTTTACTTTAAAATCGAGGTTGCATCTTTCAAGGCTATTGACTGAACCTTCTCATTATGTTATCACTTCTTTGGTTTTCATTCTGGTGCATTTTTCTCATGATGACTCAACCCGCTGATGCGCTACAAAATTTCTTGGTTGCACATCTCGCGTTTGCTGTCTCATGTTTTTTTTTGGGAGGGGGCCATGGGCAGCTGACGAACCCTATCTGCTCTGATACTTTTCGTCGTCAAAAATATTTTGTTTGCTGATTCCAGGTTTTTATTACCCAAAGAACGGGTTGACCCTGTTGAGAATGTGAAGGGGAACCCCCTGAAAAAAAATGGCCACCGTTCTGAAAAAAACAAAATTGAAAAGGCATCGGATTATTTGAGAAACCTTGCATTTTCAGGATTTGCAACGCATATAGTTTTCAAACGTAAAAAGGCCAGTTTTACTAATACAAAAATAGATAATATGTTTCGCCTTTTCCACACCCAATAATTTCTGTGCATAAAAGGGTGCCATCCAAACAATGACATTGTTTGACTTGGGTCACCCATGCAATACCCCCCTGTTTTTTTTTGTTTGGCAATTGTTTGGACATAAGGGGTTACTAAGGCATCGAATTATTTTGGAAACCTTACGTTTTAGGGATTTACAATGCATATGGTTTCCTGCAGCTAAACAAACCAGTTTTACCATTATTCAAGATCTGGGTCACTCATGGCGTACCCTCTTGTTTTTTCGTTTACAAATGTTTAATAAGACATCTTGTTATTTGGAAAACCTTGTGTTTTCAAGGCTTTAAAACATGGATATTGTTTGGGTGTAGGGTAGTTTTTTGATTTTTTCTGGCATCAGGTTTTGGTTTTTTTTTGGGTTTCCTTTCCCGGTACCATTTGCGTTGTATTTGCAACAGTTTGGAACTAGAACCTGTCATTTTGCATGGTATTTGCTACATTTTGGCATGGGCACTTTGCATTTTGCGTGGTATTTGTTACATTTGGCAACGTTTGTGTTCCATTTTGCATGGTATTTGTCATATTTTGGAATTTCAACCTCTCATTTGCATGGTATTTATTACATTTTAGTGCTTCAAACGTTCATGTGGGTCTCTTGAGGGTTCTTTAGGCTTTCATTGAAGGGTTTCATTTAAGGTTTTATTTAAGGCTTCATTTGGGGTTTCATTTCGGGTTTCATTTCGGATTTCTCTTTAAGGTTTCATTAAGGTGTCTTTAAGGCTCGGGTTTCCTTAGAATTCCATTTATCGTTTTTTCCGGTTTCATGGAGGGTCTCTGATCAGGGTTTCAGGAGTTCCAAACATTCAAATAGGTTTCTTTAGGGGCTCTTTAAGGTTTCATTTAGGGTTTCGCTTAGGGTCTCATTTAGGGTTTCATTTAGGGTTTCAGTTTGAGTTTCATTACATTTAGGGTCTCATTTAAGGTTACTTTAGAGTTTCAATTTAGGGTTTCAATTGAGGGTTTCATTCAGGAGTTCATTTAAGTTTTCTTCAGGGTTTTATTCCAGGGTTTCCTATCAGATTGTTTTTTCACGATTTCTAAACGTTCAAGTGGGTTCCTTTAGGTTTCCTTTAGCGTTTCATTTACGGTGTCATCTAGGGTGTCTTTAAGTTTTTTTTTAAAAAAAACAGACCTTTTTCTGCAGCGTGTCTCACTGCAAGGCAGGTTCCGCGGCCACTCACAAAGAAATCCAAAAACCAGTTCTGTGTTTGGACGCCAGGTTACAACATTGTCATCAACGTTGTTCTGTGTTTGGACGCCATGTTACAACATTGTCATCAACGTTGTTCTGTGTTTGGACGCCAGGTTACAACATTGTCACCAATGTTGTTCTGTGTTTGGACGCCATGTTACAACATTGTCATCAACGTTGTTCTGTGTTTGGACGCCATGTTACAACATTGTCATCAACGTTGTTCTGTGTTTGGACGCCATGTTACAACATTGTCATCAACGTTGTTCTGTGTTTGGACGCCATGTTACAACATTGTCATCAACGTTGTTCTGTGTTTGGACGCCAGGTTACAACATTGTCACCAATGTTGTTCTGTGTTTGGACGCCATGTTACAACATTGTCATCAACGTTGTTCTGTGTTTGGACGCCATGTTACAACATTGTCATCAACGTTGTTCTGTCTGTTGTTTGGACGCCATGTTACAACATTGTCTCAACGTTGGCTGTGTTTTGTACGCCAGGTTTACAACTGTGTTTGGACGCCAGGTTACAACATTGTCATCAACGTTGTTCTGTGTTTGGACGCCATGTTACAACATTGTCATCAACGTTGTTCTGTGTTTGGACGCCAGGTTACAACATTGTCATCAACGTTGTTCTGTGTTTGGACACCATGTTACAACATTGTCATCAACGTTGTTCTGTGTTTGGACGCCAGGTTACAACATTGTCACCAATGTTGTTCTGTGTTTGGACGCCATGTTACAACATTGTCATCAACGTTGTTCTGTGTTTGGACGCCATGTTACAACATTGTCATCAACGTTGTTCTGTGTTTGGACGCCATGTTACAACATTGTCATCAACGTTGTTCTGTGTTTGGACGCCAGGTTACAACATTGTCATCAACGTTGTTCTGTGTTTGAACGACGGGTTGCAACATTGTCATCAACGTTGTTCTGTGTTTGGAGCCAGCTTATAGTCTCGAAATATGCTTCAAAGGACAGAACATCGTGATGGAAGTAGCGCGGGGTCGTGGTTTGGGAACGCCGCACGTTTGTTGGTTTTCGACTCTTTGGGGAGGCCACATCACCCCACTCCACACATTATTTGATCTACCCCGGTCTCAATGCGCTTCCGGACGTCGATGTCTTTCGCACCATTGTGTTGTTTCAAAGATGCGGACCCAGTGTGTACTCAAGCTCCGGTTGAGCGGCTGAGCGGTTGATGCAGCTTTCCACGTCGTCACCGAGAATGGCAGAGTTGTAAAGAAGAAGACGAAGAAGACGGATACGGAAAAGTAAAAGAAGTAAACGTATACTAACAAGAGGTTTGGCAAAACGAATCCAAATGAAACTAGTTCCAACTTTGCAGAGTTCCCTTAATTCCTCCAGTATGACTCTGCATTTGTGGATCAATGCCATGAAGTCTAGATTTCTTGGGGGGATATGATCACGTAAATTATTTGGGATCTCGAAATTTAGAAACTTCTTTGACATTCTCTGAAGGTATGCCCTTGAACAGAAATGATAAGGCAATCAACAATGGGGAGGTCGGTCGTAGTGTAAACCAGAGTGACTCAGCTAAAACATGTTCGTATGCAAGAATTCAATTGGAGGCACATAGCCGCAGTATGAGTGGTTCCTATGACCTATTTCTTTTAGTTACACTAACTACATCACCTTCACATGCAACCATTTGTTTACCAGCTTGCTAGTTTCCCGCTTGATCTGGTTTCTCAGTTCTTCACGTTTGACGAGTGGCTGGGTGGGCGCATAAATTTGCTGTCGCTTCTTGCAGGTTTCGTGCACCAGCGGATCTAAGGCTGGAGATGTCTCGACGCATGTGAGCTGACTCCGTTTGAACGGATCATTCAACGGCCAGACATGATCAACAGGGACGTTCTGAATAATCGATTGAAATAAAACATACAACCCATAGGATCCATGGTGCTGGTATATACTAACATTGGGGGTATATTGATGGGATCCATGGCACACCATATATAGCAGCACCATGGATCCGTCATGGGTAAGGATGGCACACCGCCATGCCATGATTGACACGGTGCTGTTATGTTGATCGCAGATTGGCGAAGTGACCACCCTTTAAGTGGAGTGCAGGATTTGATTATGATCTAAAGCTAACTAGAATTACTCTTCGGTATCATAGCTATGGAAAAATGGCTCATTCATAGATGATTTACCTAGATTTTTAATAGCTATGTTGGTAGGCTGGTAGGGGGCAAAAAGGTTTGTTGATCTTCCATGTCCCTTGGGCACATCCCAAGGATATTAAATAGACTGGATTGGTGCGCTGTCTTCTCAAGTCACGCATGAACCTCTGGCAATTTCTTACATAGCCATGGAGTTTTCCACCGTTGGCAATGGCTATATCAGGCTGTAGATCATCGATCTAAATGTGCTGTGTCATGGCTTCCATAGCTATACGTTAAATTACCAGCGCAGCATTGAAGAGCTACGAGTATCTTAGAAGTCGACGTTGTCATGTATGGCATACCGCAGGGCGCTTGTGCTGTCGTCATTTTCGCAGCAAGAACAGCTGATATTCTACGATGTGGCAATGTGTCATCACCTATAGTGAAAACGTGTGCAGAGCTGTTTGAGCATCCACGGGTCTCTACAATTTTATTGGCGGCACCTGCGAATTGGTTCTCGTATGTTATGGACAAAGGGTATTGTGTTGTCCAATGCCAAAGTTGTGTGTCGCAGGATGATACGCCACGTGAGATCCAAAGAAGGGCGATCCAATCAAGATGCAACTTGACGTCGATCCAAAAAGCGTCAGAGCTATCCTAAAATGCTTATAACATTTATAACCATTCACTTCCAATTTCTCAATAGATTCATATCACCAACAGCTTTACAACCATGTTTTTTCGGAACATCTTTACCAATGCATTTCACCACTGTTCCCCGAAACCCATGCACTTCCCATCTGTGCACCGCTTTTCAGCGGGTCGTACTCTGGGTCCTTTGTGTTTGGCACATCCTTTGAGGATGACCCAGGAAATTCTGAGGACGAACCTGACCTCAAGTTGTGGCCAGCTGTGATAAAAATAAATTGAAACATCCATAGATATGAAAGATGATGTGGAATATTGATGAATATTGTGGAATGATTTCAAATGTCAGTTTGAATGAAATGATTGAAATGTTCCATCTGCGATCGAAATCAAGACCTCTTCAATTCCATATATTTTCCTGATGAACGTGTTTTTTCGATGCTAAATGACCTAAAGACGCGGCTTTCGCGTGTCAACACGACGCACATTATGTGGGCAGAGTGGAGAATGTGGCGGCCTGATTGAAGGGCAGGTCGCGGCAGGATCAATCAATAATCATGGCAGATTGGATGATCATATTTAACAAGTGCGATAATAACTATCAATCTGGGTAAATTATAATATTTCACTAATCATAATAGTCATTTTGGGATCATTACTAATCAAATATCATGATATCTGGGTAAATTATAATATTTCACTAACCTGAATTAAGGCCATCTGAGGATGATTCCTCTTATTAACCATGATTTCCAGTAAGGGAGAGCAGTGAGGTCGTTATAATTTACCCAGATCAATGTTAATACCAGCCATTATCAGTGGGAATTGTGTGACCTATCAGGGAATAATCCTCAGTACATGTCCATTTTCATACCAGCCATTGTATAATACCATCATAACAGTGATAATAACTATCAATAATTAATGGGGAGGTAATGATCATGGGAATCCCTAGAACCTCCAAATACCAGCAACAAATAAGACAAGTACTAAGATTATGGGGATAACACACAATTTTTTGTAGCTACAAGCAGAGGGTCTAGGTCAATCAATAATCATCATATCAACCCAACAATAATAATAGTAATAATAATAATCAAACACAAACATGTTTTTTTTCTAGAATGGTTTCAAATTATCAGAGTGAATAGTGATTATACAGTAATTATCAATCTCCGTTAATCATCCATGTTGGATGGTTGAAAAACCATAGATGTTTGAAACCCCAAACCAGTCATGGTTGTTCTCCTATGGTAATACTTGGTTTTGCTTAAGGACCTTCCCTTTTTTCATTCCCCAACTAGTGGATTGCCCAGTGGGAAAATAACATATAAATTACCTTAAACATGGTGAGGTTTCACTGGCAGATTGAAATATGTATGATATTGTATGATCATAACAACTCTTAATGGTGATAATAATTAACAATAATCATAATAACTATCAATAATGGATAGGTGAATCATTGTTGGGAAATCGTTGGCATCAAACATCATAAAATTCAGAACTGATGGTTCCCAACGTGGGAACCAAAGGTTGCCATGGCAAGGAACTGCCGGTTCCCAGACCTTGAAACTTACGGTTCCCAACCTGGGATCCAGAGGTTACTATTGCAAGGAATTGCCGGTTCCCAGAAGTTAGAATTTATGTTTTCGAAGCTAAGCGGCTATCATTGTAAGGAACTGCGGGTTCCCAAAGCTTGAAACTCATGGTTCCAAGCCTGAAAAAGCATACGTTACCAGCGGAAGGATCTGTTGATTGCAAAAAGTTAGAACTCATGGTTCTTAATGTTGTTTTGTTTTGTTTACTGAGCCGGTAACAGAACCTTTTGTTTTGCTTAATGGACCGGTAGCAGAATGTTTGCGTTTGGCTGTTGGGCCGGCTTAAAAATGTTTTTGCACGAAAAAGGTGCACGTCAAAATGATATGAAAACAGTTTCTTTACAATTTTATGGTTTTGCTTAATGGACCGGTACAGAACGCTTTGTTTTGCTTAATGGACCGGTACCGGAATGTTTGCGTTTGGTTCATGGCAAGGAAGTGCCGGTTTCAAAAGGTTGGAACTCCCGGTTGCCAACGTGGGAACCACAGGTTACCATTGCAAGGAACTGCCGGTTCCCACAGGTTAGAAGTCATGGTTCCCAACCTGGGAACCAGAGGCTACCTTTGCAAGCAACTGCCGGTTACCAGAGGTTGGAACTCATGCTTCCCAACCTGGGAACCACAGGTAACCATTGCAAAGAACTTCCGGCTCCTAAAGGTTGGAACTCATGGTTCCCAACGTGGGAACCAAAGGTTACCATTGCAACGAATTGACGGTTCCCAGAGGTTAGAACTCTATGTGTTCGAAGCTAAGGGCTATCATTGTAAGGAACTGCGGGTTCCCAAAGCTTGAAACTCATGGTTCCAAACCTGAAAAAGCATACGTTACCAGTGGAAGGATCTGTTGATTCCAAAAAGATAAAAATCATGGTTCTTAAATGTTCTTAATGTTGTTTTGTTTCGTCTACTGAGCTGGTAACAAAGACTTTTGTTTTGCTTAATGGGCCGGTAGAGGAATGTTTGCGTTCGGCTGCTGGGCCGGCATAAAAATGTGTTTGCACGAAAAAGGTGCACGTCAAAATGATATGAAAACAGTTTTTTTACAATTTTATGGTTTTGCTTAATGGACCGGTACAGAACGCTTTGTTTTGCTTAATGGACCGGTACCGGAATGTTTGCGTTTGGTTCATGGCAAGGATTTGCCGGTTCCCAGAGGTTGGAACTCCTGGTTCCCAACCTGGGAACCATGGGTTACCGTTGCAAGCAACTGCTGGTTACCAGAGGTTGGAACTCATGCTTTCTAACCTGGGAACCATAGGTTACCATTGTAAAGAACTTCCGGTTCCTAAAGGTTGGAACTGACGGTTCCGAACGTGGGAACCAAAGGTTACCATGGCAAAGAACTTCCGGTTCCTAAAGGTTGGAACTGACGGTTCCGAACGTGGGAACCAAAGGTTACCATGGCAAGGAACTGCCGGTTCCCAGACCTTGAAACTTACGGTTCCCAACCTGGGAACCAGAGGTTACCATTGCACGAATTGCCGGTTCCCAGAAGTTAGAATTTATGTTTTCGAAGCTAAGCAACTATCATTGTAAGGAATTGCCGGTTGCGAAAGCTTGAAACTCATGGTTCCAAACCTGAAAAAGCATACGTTGCCAGTGGAAGGATCTGTTGATTGCAAAAAGTTAGAACTCATGGTTCTTAATGTTGTTTTGTTTTGTTTACTGAGCCGGTAACAGAACCTTTTGTTTTGCTTAATGGACCGGTCGCGGAATGTTTGCGTTTGGCTGTTGGGCCGGCATAAAAATGTTTTTGAGCGAAAAAGGTGCATGTCAAAATGATATGAAAACAGTTTCTTTACAATTTTATGGTTTTTCTTAATGGACCGGTAAAGAAGGCTTTGTTTTGCTTCATGGACCGGTACCAGAATGTTTGCGTTTGGTTCATGGCAAGGAACTGCCGGTTCCCAAAGGTTGGAACTCCTGGTTCCCAACCTGGGAACCATGGGTTACCATTGCAAGCAACTGCCGGTTACCAGAGGTTGGAACGCATGGTTCCCAGCCTGGGAACCAGACGTTACCATTGCAAGCAACTGCCGGTTCCCACCTGGGAACCACAGGTTACCATTGCAAAGAACTTCCAGTTCCTAAAGCTTGGAACTGATGGTTCCCAACGTGGGAACCAAAGGTTACCATGGCAAGGAACTGCCGGTTCCCAGACCTTGAAACTTACGGTTCCCAACCTGGGAACCAGAGGTTACCATTGCAAGGAATTGCCGGTTCCCAGAAGTTAGAATTTATGTTTTCGAAGCTAAGCGGCTGTCATTGTAAGGAATTGCCGGTTGCGAAAGCTTGAAACTCATGGTTCCATGCCGGTTGCCAGAAATTAGAATTTATGTTTTCGAAGCTAAGCGGCTTTCATTGTAAGGAACTGCGGGTATCCAAAGTTTGAAACTCATGGTTCCAAACCTGAAAAAGCATACGGTACCAGTGGAAGGATCTGTTGATTCCAAAAAGTTAGAACTTATGGTTCTTAATGTTGTTTTGTTTTGTTTACTGAGCCGGTAGCACAACCTTTTGTTTTGCTTAATGGACCGGTAGCGGAATGTTTGCGTTCGGCTGCTGTGCCGGCATAAAAATGTTTTTGCACGAAAAAGGTGCATGTCAAAATGATATGAAAACAGTTTCTTTACAACTTTATGGTTTTGCTTAATGGACCGGTACCGGAATGTTTGCGTTTGGTTCATGGCAAGGAACTGCCGGCTCCCAAAGGTTGGAACTCACTGTTGCCAACGTGGGAACCACAGGTTACCATTGCAAGGAACTGCCGGTTCCCAGAGGTTGGAACTCCTGGTTCCCAACCTGGGAACCAGAGGTTACCATTGCAAGCAACTGCCGGTTCCCAGAGGTTGGAGCTCATGCTTTCTAACCTGGGAACCATAGGTTACCATTGCAAGAACTTCCGTTTCCTAAAGGTTGGAACTGACGGTTCCCAACGTGGGAACCAAAGGTTACCATGGCAAGGAACTGCCGGTTCCCAGACCTTGAAACTTACGGTTCCCAACCTGGGAACCAGAGGTTACCATTGCAAGGAATTGCCGGTTCCCAGAAGTTAGAATTTATGTTTTCGAAGCTAAGCAACTATCATTGTAAGGAACTGCGGATTCCCAAAGTTTGAAACTCATGGTTCCAAACCTGAAAAAGCATAAGATTCCAAAAAGATCAAAATCATGGTTCTTAATGTTGTTTTGTTTTGTTTACTGAGCCGGTAACAGAACCTTTTGTTTGCTTAATGGACCGGTAGCGGAATGTTTGCGTTTGGCTGCTGGGCCGGCATAAAAATGTTTTTGCATGAAAAAGGTGCATGTCAAAATGATATGAAAACAGTTTCTTTACAATTTTATGGTTTTGCTTAATGGACCGGTACAGAACGCTTTGTTTTGCTTAATGGACCGGTACCAGAATGTTTGCGTTTGGTTCATGGCAAGGAACTGCCGGGTCCCAAAGGTTGGAGCTCACGCTTGCCAACGTGGGAACCACAGGTTACCATTGCAAGGAACTGCCGGTTCCCAGAGGTTGGAACTCCTGGTTCCCAACCTGGGAACCAGAGGTTACCATTGCAAGCAACTGCCGGTCCCAGAGGTTGGAACTCATGCTTCCCAACCTGGGAACCATAGGTTACGATTGCAAAGAACTTCCAGTTCCTAAAGGTTGGAACTGATGGTTCCCAACGTGGGAACCAAAGGTTACCAAGGCAAGGAACTGCCGGTTCCCAGACCTTGAAACTTACGGTTCCCAACCTGGAACCAGAGGTTACCATTGCAAGGAATTGCCGGTTCCCAGAGGTTAGAATTTATGTTTTCGAAGCTAAGCAACTATCATTGTAAGGAATTGCCGGTTGCGAAAGCTTGAAACTCATGGTTCCAAACCTGAAAAAGCATACGTTACCAGTGGAAGGATCTGTTGATTGCAAAAAGTTAGAACTCATGGTTCTTAATGTTGTTTTGTTTTGTTTACTGAGCCGGTAACAGAACCTTTTGTTTTGCTTAATGGACCGGTAGCGGAATGTTTGCGTTTGGCTGTTGGGCCGGCATAAAAATGTTTTTGAACAAAAAAGGTGCATGTCAAAATGATATGAAAACAGTTTCTTTACAATTTTATGGTTTTGCTTAATGGACCGGTAAAGAACGCTTTGTTTTGCTTAATGGACCGGTACCGAAATGTTTGCGTTTGGTTCATGGCAAGGAACTGCCGGTTTCCAAAGGTTGGAACTCACGGTGGCCAACGTGGGAACCACAGGTTACCCATTGCAAGAAACTGCCGGTTCCCAGAGGTTGGAACTCCTGGTTCCCAACCTGGGAACCATAGGTTACCATTGCAAAGAACTTCCAGTTCCTAAAGCTTGGAACTGATGGTTCCCAACGTGGGAACCAAAGCACAGCACGCTGCACAGCACCCTGCACAGCACCCTGCACAGCACCTTTCACAGCACCCTTCACAGCACCCTGCACAGCACCTTTGCCAGACTTCGCCACCGCAGTCTGGACAGCACCCTGCACAGCACCTTTGCCAGACTTCGCCACCGCAGTCTGGACAGCACCCTGCAAAGCACCCTGCAAAGCACCCTGCACAGCAGCTTTGCCAGACTTCGCCACTGCAGTCTGGACAGCACCCTGCACAGCAGCCTGCACAGCACCTTGCACAGCACCTTGCACAGCACCCTGCACAGCACCTTTGCCAGACTTCGCCACTGCAGTCTGAACAGCACTCTGCACAGCACCCTGCACAGCACCTTTGTCAGATTCGCCACTGCAGTCTGAAGAGCACTCGCCACTGCAGTCTGGACAGCACCCTCAGCACCCTGCACAGCACCCTGCACAGCCCCCTTGCACAGCACCCTGCACAGCACCCTGCACAGCACCTTTGCCAGACTTCGCCACCGCAGTCTGGACAGCACCCTGCACAGCACCCTGCACAGCAGCTTTGCCAGACTTCGCCACCACACTGTGGACAACACCCTGCAGAGCACCCTGCACAGCACCCTGCACGGCACCTTTGCCAGACTTCGCCACCGCAGTCTGGACAACACCCTGTGCACAGCACCCTGCACAGCACCCTGCACAGCACCTTCGCCAGACTTCGCACCCGCAGTCTGGACAGCACCCTGCACAGCACCCTGCACAGCACCTTGCACAGCACCCTGCACAGCACCTTTGCCAGACTTCGCCACCGCAGTCTGGACAGCACCCTGCACAGCACCCTGCACAGCACCTTTGCCAGACTTCGCCACCGCAGTCTGGACAGCACCCTGCACAGCACCTTTGCCAGACTTCGCCACCGCACTCTGGACAACACCCTGCAGAGCACCCTGCACAGCACCTTTGCCAGACTTCGCCACCGCAGTCTGGACAACTCCCTGCACAACACCTTTGCCAGACTTCGCCACCGCAGTCTGGACAGCACCCTGCACAGCACCCTGCACAGCACCTTTGCCAGACTTCGCCACCGCAGTCTGGACAGCACCCTGCACAGCACACTGCACAGCACCCTGCACAGCACCCTGCACAGCACCTTTGCCAGACTTCGCCACTGCAGTCTGGACAGCACCCTGCGCAGCACCCTGCGCAGCACCCTGCACAGCAATTTTGCCAGACTTCGCCGCCGCAGTCTGGACAGCACCCTGCACAGCACCCTGCACAGCACTCTGCACAGCACCCTGCACAGCACCTTTGCCAGACTTCGCCACTGCAATCTGAAAAGCACTCTGCACAGCACCCTGCACAGCACCGAGCACAGCACCTTTGCCAGACTTCCCCACTGCAGTCTGAACAGCACCCTGCACAGCACCCTGCACAGCACCTTTGCCAGACTTCGCCACCACACTAGTACAGCACCCTGCACAGCACCCAGCACCGTGCACAGCACCCTGCACAGCACCCTGCACAGCACCCTGCACAGCACCTGTGCCAGACTTCGCCACCGCAGTCTGGACAACACCCTGCACAGCACCCTGCACAGCACCTTTACCAGACTTCGCCACCGCTTTGCCAGACTTCGCCACCGCAGTCTGGACAGCAGCCTGCACAGCAGCCTGCACAGCACCTTTGCCAGACTTCGCCACCGCTGGACAACACCCTGTAGAGCACCCTGCACCGCACCCTGCGCAGCACCTTTGCCAGACTTCGCCACCGCAGTCTGGACAGCACCCGGCACAGCACCCTGCACAGCACCTTTGCCAGACTTCGCCACCGCAGTCTGGACAGCACCCTGCACAGCAGCCTGCACAGCACCCTGCACAGCACCTTTGCCAGACTTCGCCACCGCAGTCTGGACAGCACCCTGCACAGCACCCTGGGCTCAAAAGTTCGCCACCGAAGACCCCACCTTTGAGAAGTAAGAACCCCTATAGCTTGCCAGCTATCTGGGGAATAAATAAACATATATATATATACATATATAATACATATATATATATATATATATACACACATATATATATATGTTTCCATTTGTGAAACCCTGATACCATAGACCCACAGTCACACGGTCACCCCCCTGAAAAAATATCCCTGCCTTCCATGTTTTCTCACCATGGCATACCTCCCAGCTGTCCAAAATCGCATGGCTGGCAAGCTGGCAGAGGGGACAGCCGGGCTCGACCCCGGCCTCAGCCCGTTCCGAAGTGCGTCCGGCAGGGCACAAAACGTCCGGGGAAGCTCCGGAGATGTAGAGCGTCCTGGAGTAAACCCCAGCGGATGGGAGGAGGAACCATGGGTTCGGTTGCTAACAAGTACAGTAGGGAAAATAGAATGAACACGGGAGGAAAAAGTATCTTGCCTTGAACTAATAGAAAATGGAGAAAGAAAAACAGAATGAAGCCTGGAAGAATGAGGATAGTGGAGAGGAAGCACGGTTGAATAAGTCCCCAATTCCCAGGACATCCCAGGACGATCATCGAAGCGAAAAACAGCTGAGACTGCTGGCTGTTGGCGACCCAAACTTTCTGTGGTCTCTACCCATTCATACTTGGTGGCTCATCCTACTTGCTAGGTAAGTTATATTTTATATATATATATCCCTGGTTTTGTTAGAGGGATAAGTAGGTTCGGTTTAATCCACTTAGAAGGTTATGGTTAAGGCTATGGTTAATCCACTTAGAAGGTTAAGTAGGGTTAATCCACTTAGATCTACCAAAGATAAGTAGGGTAGTAATTAGTCCACTTAGATATACTTAGATGGTTGTGGTTGCATAGTGGGATGAGCCACCTACCATTCCAACCTTCGCGCCTGTTGCCGGTGAAGCAACTCTGCCGAAAGTCGCGCAAGTTCACTGTGCCCTTGGAGGCACCGAGAGCTTCCAGGAAAATGCCCAAGGCCCTCCTGGTGGCGATGGCCCATGTGTTGTGGGATGGTGGTATATGGTCTGACTCATGGGGAATGCAAAGATAATGCTTAATTACATGTGAAATTATGTTGTTTATTAAAGAAAATCTAGAATATCATAAAATATTTTTTTATCCGCCGACCCCGCCGACAGCAAGCGGAAGCACGTCAGAGAAGACATTACAATCAGCCAGGGGCAAGAAATGATGAGAGCAAACTGCAAGAGCCAGAGAACCCAGAGAGAGGGAAGCAGACAAAAGAAGAAAGCAAGGAGCAAGAGCAAGCGAGCAAGGCGGAAGCAAAAGAGATAAGGAAGACGAAATCAAGCCGAGGGACAGCAGCAAGTTTCAAGAGCAAGGGACAAGGAAAGAAAGCAGCAAAACGAAAGTACGCTAGTAAGCAACGTTAGGCACGACCAGCTGCACGCCGCAGGCGCCATCCATTCTTCACTGGCATGTTGTTTCAGTGTGGCGAAGGGGTCCGATTTGGAAGCCTAGGCAATCATTTTGGAGCTAGTTACTTGTGGCTGCGACGTTAGGCACGACCAGCTGCAGGCCGCAGGCGCCATCCGTCCTTCACTGCCATGGTGTTTCAGTGTGGCAGGGGGGTCCGTTGTGGAAGTCTGGGCAATAATTTTGGAGCTAGTTTCTGGTCGCTTGAGACAGCAACATTAGGGATGATGAGCTGCGGGTCCGTTTTGGAAGCTTGGGCAGTCATTTTGGTGTTAATTTCTTGCGGATTCAGAAAGCAACGCCGCAGGCGCCATCCGTCCTTCACAGCCATGGTGTTGCAGTGTGGCGGGTCCGTTTTGGAGGCTGGGCAAATTTCTTGCGGATTCAGAAAGCAACGTTAAGCACGGGCGGCAGCAGGCCGCAGGCGCCATCCGCCATTCACAGCTATGGTGTTTCAGTGTGGCGGGTCTGTTTCGGGGGCTGGGCAAGTTTCTTACAGAAAGCAACGTTAAGCACGGGCGGCTGCAGGCTGCAGTCGCCATCCGCCCTTCACAGCCATGGTGTTTCAGTGTGGCGGGTCGGTTTTGGAGGCTGGGCAAATTTCTTGTGGGTTCAGAAAGCAACATTAAGCACGGGCGGCTGCAGGCCGCAGGCGCCATCCGTCCTTCACTGCCATGGTGCTTCAATGTGGCGAGGGGGTCCGTTGTGGAAGCCTGGGCAATCATTTTGGAGTTCGTTTCTTGTGGCTTCAGAAAGCGACGTTAGGCACGACCAGCTGCAGGCCGTAGGTGCAACAAAATCATCCATCCCCAGCCTCTGGGGTCGGCGGCAGGGGGCGTAGCCCCTTCATATGTATATGATGTATGCGTGTATAAGAATATAATGAAATTTAACCTACAACTAATGATAGATCTGTTGAAATATGTTTTTCTTTGTGGCCTGACGATCCCCTTCTTTGTTTAGCCGCGGCACTTTGTAATCAGGACTATCATCTGGAATGCGTGGACAAGTTTTATCGCGTAGAAAATAGAACAAACATATAAACAAAAAAACATGTGGTATGGTCGGAAATTTTGGTAAAGTAACCCCAAAATCTCATGTTGGATCATCACTGTCCAAAGAACAATTGGGATATCTTAGGGTATTACACTCATTTCAGGGCCAAGCCATGTCACCAAATGCCTGGAAATTCCATGCCATTCACATCAAAACAGCTGGATGTTCATCCCCTTAACGTGTGGCTCCTCTCCAGCGCCTCTTGCGCGAGCAACATCAAGACATCCCATCTGAGATCGCTTTCCCCAGACGGACCATGCCAAAGTGTCGGCTCTGCAGGGTCCAACAAATTGAGAAACATCCATCTGAATCTAATTCCAACGCCTCTTGGATTGGTGCTGTTGTAGATATGATATATTCTACCAGTTGAGGCAGAATTGAAATTCCAACTCGGAGCAGCCGGTTCTCTGAGACTGAAACCTAGAAAAGGTGCTTGGAAGAAATCATAGATCGCTATTGAGTTCAGTGAGGTAGGTGTGAAAGTTGTGAATTGAAGGGTAAGAGTAAAACTTTCTGTCAGCAAACTTCTGGCTAAATGATCATGCTTCAACAACCTACAAAATGCGGGCCGTAGCAGTGACGGATGACCCCTCTCAAAACCACCATTGATGGGGTCAAAAGACCAGAAACATCCAGAAACCAAAGCAAACTGTAGCATCCAAATGCAGGATTCCATGGTCTACAAATATCTACTGTTATGGTGGATGATCCAAAAAAATAGCATTGCAGCAGCGCTACTTCGTGCCACGGAGCACTGACGCTGCGACGCTGGTGCTACGGATTGACATCGAAATTGCTGGATGTGTAAATGTCAATTGACATATAAGAAATGTGATGATCATTGATGATCATATCATATCCATCAATGATACACAAGTAAGTACATTTGTTGACCATCATCAATGATATACAAGTACATTTTTTGACCATCATCAATGATATACAAGTACTGAACTCAGCTACTGAACAGTCTTCAAAGATTTGCAGGTTGATCCACGAGCGCTGGGCGCCACGCCGCCACGCCGCAGGTGGGACTTTGACTAGTCATATCAGTCACCAAATCTATGCGAAGGTATTAGGGTGGTATCCCCAATATTCTTGTGATACATATAATACGCATAAATAATATTAAATAATCATATATCTGGTTGGTGGTATACCTACCCCCTTTGAAAAATCATGGAGTTCGTCAGTTGGGATGAGTCTTCATGATTCTTCCCAATATATGGAAAAAAATGGAAAAAATGTCCCAAACCACCAACCAGTATTATTCTAGAATTCTATTATTCTGTATATAAACCAATCATATACAGATACGATTCAAATTGGCACCTCGTCTTTTCAACAAAACCAGGGGCCTCTTCTACCGCATCGTCCTCAGCTCCGGGGATATCCCTGGATGGTTGGTCTCAACCATCGGCTACAGTAGTCTAGACTTATACATACTTATACGATATGGACGTACACCTACATTGATGACATACACCATCCATGATGTCATGATATGTCATGATATTCTCATGTTGCAGGGCAATAATATATCGTGGGCACCTGCTTCGATTTTTTTATTCGAATCAGATTTCATGACATGAGCTCTTGGACGCGCAGGCTGCAGGATTTCTCCGCTTTCGGCGTTGTGGATCATAAAGAATCCCAAAAACACTATCGGCAAATCCACACACTGCTACTTGGTGGCTCATCCCACGAATCCTACGTAGGTCATATCCCTGGTTAGGATAAGTAGGGTGAATCCATGTTAATCCACTAAGCCACTATATAAGGTGAACTAACATATACTTCCGATTCGTGGAATTCACTTACAACTAGGGTTTTCACGAATTTTCTCCAGCGATGGAAGCAGCTTTCAAAAAACATTGGGCTTATGGATAGGGCCCTTTTCACAAATGCGTTTTCAGCATCAACCAACAGGCTTTTTCAGCGCTGATCCTTGGGGACCCCAACCTCCACAACTCTTTCTCTGCAAATTTCCTCCGCAACGCGGTCCGGGCCTTTTGATGCATGAAATTCGGCTGGGTTTAATACAACTTGCTTTATTACCCTCCGGTAAACATACAAATAGCTATTGAAAATGGCCATCTAGTGGATTTACCCATTAAAAATAGTGATTTTCCATAGCTATGTAAACGCTTGCCAGAGGGTACTTGGCTTGGGATGTGATGGGATGGGATTGACTTGGGTTTAATGGGATTTTTCATGGGATGAAAGGTTGGATGTCATGGTCTTCAACCACCCAAAATACTGGTAATTTTATGGTGAGTTCGTGCTTTAATCCAGTCCCCTATGAAATAACCCCCCCATGACTGGGCACCCAAAAACTCAAGAACTCCAATTTTCTAAACCAGAGTGTTTTTCCCCACCTGCCAGGTGAGGGGGGAGATTTTATCTAAGTTGCCTTCTCCTCCTCCTCCTCCTCTCCTCCTCCTCTCCTCCTCCTCTCGTCGTCCTCCTCCTCTCGTTGTCCTCCTCCTCTCGTTGTCCTCCTCGTCTCGTTGTCCTCCTCGTCCTCCTGCTCAACTGCGACTCGCGATCCACAGTGTTCGCTGCCGGACCTCAACCACGACCATCCACGCCCAGTGTTCCCTGCCGGACCTCAACCACGACCAGCCACGCCCAGTGTTCCCTGCCGGACCTCAACCACGACCAGCCACGCCCAGTGTTCCTTGCCGGACCTCATGTAGGAAGATTTGCCAGATAGAATGCCAGAGAAAGATATGCCAGAAGATATGCCAGAAGATATGCCAGAAGATATGCCAGAAGATATGTCAGAATATATGCCAGAAGAATGCCAGATAGAATGCCAGAAGATATGTCAGAAGATATGCCAGATAGAATGCCAGGTAATATGCCAGAAGATATGCCAGATAGAATGCCAGAAGATTTGCCAGAAGATGCCAGAAAATATGTCAGAAGAATGCCAGATAGATATGCCAGAAGATATGCCAGATAGATATGCCAGAAGATATGTCAGATATATGCCAGAAGATATGAGATAGAATGCCAGATAGATGCCAGAAGAGAATATGCCAGAAGATATGCCAGATAGAATGCCAGATAGAATGCTAGAAGATATGTCAGATAGAATGCCAGAAGATATGCCAGATAGAATGCCAAATAGAATGCCAGATAGAATGCCAAAGATTTGCCAGAAGATATGCCAGAACATATGCCAGAAGATATGCCAGATAGAATGCCAAATAGATTGTCAGAAGATATGTCAGATAGAATGCCAGAAGATTTGCCAGTAAGAAAATGTATAAATGTCATGGTGGGGATCACACGAAGTAAAGTAATTTGGATGTTTTTCTTGGGTGGTATCTCGTCTTAGGGAACCGGGATTATGATTTCAGGGCTGTCTAAAAAAAATGCGACCTCGAAATCTTTCAAAGATGGTGATCTGCAATGAAAACCGCCGATGCTTTCAGGCTCAAGTTCAAGGGACACCAAGAAATGAGTGTCTGAAGATGGCATACCACCAACATGGCACTTTTTATAATCTAATGGAGATTACATGAGAACATGATGATGAAGCAGTGGCTGTAGAGTATACACCGGTTTTTGGTCAAACACAGATTTGAGGGGGTACAAAGTTAATCATGTTAATCAACACAAGTAGAGAAATGGTGTACCCTGGGGTAAACATAGAATCATAGATGTGGAAAAGCCATGGGTTTTTCTAGGGAAATCATCTACACATGGTTTTTCCACATCTCGTTGTATGTTTACTCCGGAGGCTAACTCTTCCAGCTCAGCCCCGGCTCCTCGGCTGAAAAGTCCTCGCCGACACGTATCGTTCAGAACTGCGGAATAGGATGGAATAGGTATCTGTAGGGATTCTCTGGGTATATAAATCATCCTTGATTGACCATGATCAATATTCCATGGGGAGGTCGTTATCGGGTTTCTATTGTTTTCTTCAGGGTTGATCATCCCGAATCAAGATAGCGTTGCAAAAAAATAGTTAAATAGTTCTGCGAAGACTCAGGAAAGAAGAAAATGACTAGTGATCTCCCCCTATTTGGCCTCTTGATCCCCCACGATACACCAATTTTTGCTGGATCAAATCATCCGCAGAATGGAAATGCACCAGGGATTGTTTGCATATCATCAGTTCCCATGTCCATCATGTCCCCATCAGAAGTCGATATTTCACGATAGTTTACCCTCTAGCTAGGAAATCCCCGTGGCCTAGCCAGGTTTAGTTCGCTGGTGGGAAAATCCTCCCGCTTTAGTTGGAGCATTTTCCAGCCTGCGCCATGTTTGATTGGAGGGTACCCTCTGGTAATTTAACATAGCTTTTGAAAATGGCCATTTATAGTGAGTTGTCCCATTAAAAATGGTGATTTTCCATAGTTATGTTAGTTTACCAGATGGTAATCAGCAAAAATAAAAAGTATCAGTGTTTTTTCTTCTGGCCAGCAGTGGATCAAAGGGGACGCCCGTTGCCAAATGTTGCCAATGCAGGTCGGCAGTCCCATTCTTCGTTCCGCTCTTGCAGGTCAGCACCTCAGCGCAGCTGGTGACACCAAACTATTCCCATCTCTCAGGAGCACAGAAAACACAAAATCCCACCCCAAAATGCGACATGTCCGTCATGACCGAAGCTTTGAGCTGTAACACAGTTGGTTGAATTTGGAACATCTTCATGAAGGCATGAAGGCAGGGTTTCCTGCAAATTTTCCCTTCAACCAATTCCGGGAAGAATTTAAAACTGGGTCCATGTTGAAACCCAAACCTAGGGTTTAATTCATTGGCTTTGTTTTTGATTTTGAATATTCTCCAAAGACTTACCCTACAGTAATCAAATGTAATCAAACATGGTGGAAAGTACCCCAATTTGGGTAGGTAATTCAGTAAGCGAACTAAACTTCCATGGCTAGGCCACGGCGCTTTCCCAGCGAGGGTAATTCCAGGACTCACAACTAGTCACCATTAGTGCCACACCTGCCACGCAAAACGAAGGTAGATATCTCCAAGTGCCACACCTGCCACGCAAAACTTAAGGTGGATGTCCAGAAGTGCCACGCCTGCCACGCAAAGTGGCTCGGCGCCCCGGGCGACCAACGGCGACCAAGCGCGCCACCAAGTGCAACAAGTGCCACGCCTGCCACGCAAAACACAGGTGGATGTCACCAAGCGCCACCCCTGCCACGCGAAACGCAAGTGCATGTCGCCAAGTGCCACGCCTGCCACGCAAAGTGCCGCGGCGAAAGCGGTGTGTGAAAGTGGTGTGTGAAAGATGGTGGGTGACAAAGATGTGTGTGAAAGATAGTGTGTGACAAAGTTTTGTGTGAAAAATGGTGTGTGACGAAGTTGTGTGTGAAAG